TTTCGGTTGAGTCTCTTGCCCATGAGGGCTCAGGAGTTAGCCGGGCAACAGTAGGGTCTTGACTCACCTCTTTACTCTTGCCCACTCCATCCCAAAGCCAGGCTTAAACCACCAGCGGCCTCCTCCACTTTCCAGATCAAGTAGAGAAGTGAGCTGCTCCTCACCTTAAGGAGGTGTTGAAATCCAGGACACATCAGCTCCCTACCAATGTCAACTCTGAAGTCCAGCTCATGAGAAGGGTCGATCAAGGAACTGATCAGCTGCATGCAGGCCACCTAAAACCAATGAAACAACAACAAAAAAATAATCAAGAAACAACTTCTGACCATGAGCTGAAAGTCAGTGTCCAGGACTTACAAGGAAGTCAGAAGACCACACACAAAGCTGCAGCAGAAAAAAAGCAGTAAAGCCGAAAGTATTTTTCATCCATACCAAACCCATACTGCTGAAAGCTCTCCAGCTCCTGCATTAGGCTCCAAGTGCCACGTCCACAATAATCTGAGGAATTAAGTACCTCCAGTGCCCCTGAGTCACCACTCTTTGGGCCATCCAAGAGAGGCTGGAACCGCTCCACCTTGGCTATTCCTGCTCCTTCAGTCAACGGCTCCAGAGCCTGCCCGTCCCTGACGTGAGAGAGGATCAGCTGCAGTCCCACAGGGCTGGACAAAGAGATGGAAAGTATTTCATAAGTCCCATGATAAGTATATGATTAAAGTGATGGTACCAGAAAATGTACAGCAGGGGAAAAAGCAAAACGAGCAGCGTGAGGATAGTAAGGGTTTATTAAAAAGGAAGAAACTTCCACCACCTTTTCCCTGCTTGTTCCAGCAACTGCCCTGAGGCACCCAGGCAGACACCACACAGCAGAAGCTGTGGCTGGGGGTTGTTGTCTCCAGGCACTGGACAAGGCCTTTGCCTGGTTGTTTGCAAAAGCCTTCAGGCATTGGATGATCTCACATCTGCTCCATGTCCCATAGTGAAGACAATCAGCCACCTGACAAACAAGATACACCCTCTCTCCCCTCCAGAGCTCCTCCACAAGGCTCAAATGAAGCTGTTAGCACCCACACCAAAATCCCACCTTAACTGCATCTTACAGAGAAAAGACAGGAGAAAAGGTCGTTTATGCAGGAAACCACTAGGCTGAGCTCTGATACAGCCAATATCAGATGTGTCAACATCTGAGGGTTGGACTAGATGATCTTTAAAGGTCCCTTCCAACCCAAACTACTCTATGATTCTATGATAATATTCACCTTGCTATGAACAGCCTCCCTTTACACAAAGGAATCCCTCAGCTCCATCCCAAACACAGAATTCAGCACAGAATTCAACTACTTAAGCAGCTGAGATGCCACAAAAAGACATGGTAGGAAGACCACCCCCCCACCCCCCCCAAACAGAGCACCACGTTAGCATTGTGAATCCTAGCCGTTTCCAGAAATCTCATGGAGAAGAAAAATAATGGGATCCCAAGACAGCAAGTCAACCTCAAGAACTGCAAGAGAGGTTTGTGAATGCTATCAAGTGCTGTGAAAAAGCAAACCCCCAAAGCACTGGAGTGTCAGGAGCAGCAAGAGGAAACCAAGGGCAGGCACTGCCAGGCATGAGGGTGGGAAGAAAGCGTGGAGCTGCAACCTGTTTAGACAGTCTTTATAGGGGAGGAGAGAGGGCACCAATGAAGGAGCAGAGGAGCTGAAAACAGTCAAGCAGAGAGGGTCAAAAAAGCAGGTATAGAAATGCTCAGCTTGCAAATGCAACATCTCAGTGCAAGCTGCTCAGAGACGGAAAAGCAGGCCAAAAAAAAAAAAAAAAAAAAGCATTAACTGAACTTCAGAAAGAATATGGCCACATAACTTATCCCCAGCCTCAGAAATTACTGGGAAATTTCACCATAAATCCTGCTCCAAGACTTTTTTTTTTATCTCACGCCTCTGGAGAAAAAAAAAAAAAAAAAAAAAAAGAAAAAAAAAGGATCTCCAGCCAAGGTTTTGAAAGGATCTCAAAGCAGTCAAGGCTTATTCAGGTTTAGGGCAGAAGATATTTGTATGCAGACAGCAGGGGGCTTCACCCCAAATTAAACATGTGCAAGTGGGCCCGTCATTGGACTATTATTTTTTTTTCAACATATAAAAGCTACATATTTCTAAAACTGGAGTTTCACTAATTTTCTCTTTTGCAAAAGACACATTTTTAAACATACCAAGAGATACCCAAAGCATTCAGAATGCATCAAGGTTTTCTTTGCAGTAAAACCTCTGGTCTGAATAACAAAGGAACTGAAAAAAGTTGTATTAAAAGAAAAGATGCCATCGCTGGCTGCAGAGCTCCAGAGATGCCCCTGTTCCTGTAAAACCAAGATATGGAAGTTGGTCAAACGGTGCAACAAGGGAGACCTGAATCTTTTTTACACTTTAAGGTTGGTTTAGTTACTGCCCAATCAACCACTTCCCCGAAAACTTCCTGCAAGGCTTCAGTATGCAACCAAATAAAGAACTGCGGTGTGACACACTACCGCCAGTAACATTTAACACTTCCTGTCTAGGTATTTACATTTCTTTCAGCTTACTCAAAGGACTCTGTTTTAGGTCCTGTTTAACTTAACAAGCTTCTGAAGTTTGTATTTAGAAGGCAGGTTGGAGTTTTTGTGTTGCAGATGCTGCAGACCCTGGAGCATCTCCTCCCGGTGAGCCTGGTGCGGGGGCAGCAGCAAGGGTCAGGGATACTCACAGCACTGGATGCAGGTCACAGCACAGCATCTCCCCCAGATCTTCACGTCCTTCTCTTTCAGAGGCTGCTCCTTGCTCAGGTTCATCTCTGGCTGTTGAAACAACTCACACACTTTGCAGGTGTCACTGTAGGGAGTGCTTGATTTGCCCGATAATTGAGATGCAGCTGTGGATGAGTGGTGCATTGGGTCGGGCTGAGATGGAGTTGATTTTCCTCCTAGCAGCCCTCACAATGCTGTGCTTTCTATTGGTACGTAGAAAGGGGTTGATAGCACACTGGTGTTTTGGCGACTGCTGAGCAGTGCCCACACAGCATCAAGGCTGGGTCTCCAACATCCCCCTGCCATCACCACCGGTGGGCTGAGGGGGGGCAAGGCCTCTGGAGAGGACGTAGCCAAGACACCTGACCCAAACTGACCAAAGGGATATTCCATACCGTATGATGCCAGCTCAGATATAAAAGCTAAGGGAAAGGAGGAGGAGGGGGACGACATTTGTCTTTTACGATGTTTTGTCTTCCGGAGCAACCGCTAAGCGTACTGAAGCCCTGCTTCCCGGGAAGTGGCTGGACATCACCTGCTAATGGGAAATAGAGAATAAAATCTTGTTTTCCTTTTGCTATCGCACACGGCTTTTGTTTTTTATTAAACTGCCTTTATCTTGACCCATGTGGTTTTTTTCTCTTCCATCTCATTTTCTCCTTGCCCGTCCAGCTGAAGAGGGGAGTGATAGAGTGGCTTGGTGGCACCTGGCTTCCAGCCAAGGTCAAACCAGCACAACAAGCATGGTGGCAAATATGAGTACTATTAAGCTTATCAAATACCCATCGGATTTTAGTCTCATTAGAAAGCTAAAATCCACTCCAAGAGAAACAAGAGATGTGGCTCTACCCAAAACCTGCTTTCGACTCTCTGAGGCAAGTTTATTTTTCTCCTTAATATCATCGTTCCTCCAAAACTGTTTATGACGTTTCAAAGAAAGGAACATGCAGTTCACATGCCATTAAAAAAAACCAAAATGAAATCAAACCAAACACAAAGGTACTCAGAGCTAGGAATGGAAAATATTTACAAACCACCCAAATAGCAAACATTAATGAGAAAACCTAGGAGAATGAGAAAGCAAAACTGTCCTCAGCAATTCAGCCTCCACCGAGGACCACAAACCCAGAGGCTGATGATGGCTGGTAAATTTGAGTTCCCTGCCCCAGACACATCTCAGTAGCCCATTCTGAGACCAAGAAAGGAAAAAGCAACACGCTTCAGAGACACATAGCTCCAGTCGAAGGCAGTTTTTGACTTCTGCAGATAAGCTGCCTGACAAGTGGTAATACCTGCTTATACAGGACCCTGACTTCATCCACCTCCACCCAGAAAAAGTTTTGCCATGCTGACTAAGCCTGGAGCCTTGCAGACTGGCCAAGGGATCAGTTTGGCGATCTGTGTACAATTACCCATGGCTCTGGAGCTGCCCAAAAGCATCCATGCCCTGGCTGCTGCAGGTTCTTGCTCTGTGGAGGCACTAAGGCAGGCATTTCTGGTTATTTATTCTTTTAAAGGGGTAAAGCACAGCCGAGTATCCTCTTTATGGCCTGCTGGGAATTACCCACCAGGCAGAGCAGGAACAAGGGCAGAGCTTGTATATTTAAGAGGCAGTTGAGTTACATTACCATTAAACACACGCTAAATATTTCACTAGGCTGAAGACTGACAATAGTTTTGTGGACATCTAACCCCTGGGTAGAAATCCTAGATAATTTCCTTTATTTTCATCCATAAAATGCTACCTGATTTATTGACAGAAAACCAAAGAGCTACAATAAGCTTTTGAAACGGAGCACAGCAAATACAAAGCAATTAAGCAAACAGAAGATCCCCCAGGTGAACCCCTGAGGCACTGAAGAGGAATGAAAGGTCTCCCTTCAGTCCAAGCTCAGTAAAAGGGACAAGGATAGCAAGAAAGGTGACAACGCCAGGGCCAGGAAGGGCTGCTGGGGCTGAATGAAACCAGGGAACCAAAGCTCTCCTGGCATCACTGCACCCCTTGAGGCTTGTACCCCACCCTCCGAGCACCCCAGCCCTCTCATAGAATCATAGAATCGCTTTGGTTGGAAAAGACCTTTAAGATCATCGAGTCCAACCTTTAACCTAACCCTGATGTCCTACCACTAAACCATGTCCCTAAGCACCTCATCTCTCCTTCTTCTAAATCCCTCCAGGGATGGGGACTCATCCACCTCCCTGGGCAGCCCATCCCAGAGTCTGACAGCCCTTTCTGCGAAGAAGTTTTTCCTAATGTCTAGCCTAAACCTGCCCCGGCGCAGCTTCAAACCATTCCCCCTCTCACCCCTGCTTGTGCAGCACAGGCATTATTCAAAGGGTCTGCGATAGGAAAAGGTGTGGTTTTAACATCTATTAGCCAAACACACTTAAAATGTGCTATCGCCCACCACCGACGTCACCTAACAGGGCTGAATTTTGGCTGGAAGAACTTGAGTTTGTTTTCCATATCCTGGAAAACGGAATTAGGACAGAAGGAAGAAACCTGCCTTCCAGCCTGCATTAAGCTGCAGAGAGGAGAAACAGAAAAGCCCTCCCCAAGATAGGAGTCATGGCTCACATCCAAGGCTTCCGAGTGAGAGGAAAAACAAGGCAGCAGCCTTCACGTATGCGTGCTGTTAGGAAAATTTACTCTACAATCGTTGGCCTTTGTCCAATCCAATAGTATCGGGGACTGGGAGAGAGATTTGATGAACTCAATCACACAGTCTGGAATCAATAAAGGCCACGGCACTCCCAAAATCCTGCACGCCATCCAAGTTCAGGACTCAGGACCCTTGCAGGAAGATAATAACAACAATAACGATATCAGCAGCAAACAGAAAACTCCTGCAAGAGATACAGATTTTCTCACTAATTAACTGGCCAAACTGGAGGCTAAAGAAGGATATAAAGCATTAACATCTCTTCACCTCCTTAGAGGGGACAAAGGTTTAACAGTCAGCATTGCCTGGAAAATCAGCAGCTTCACCACAGGCTCATTAACTCCAAAAGCCCAATGCCTACAGGACAGAGAAGCACAAAGAAACCACAGACCTGTCATCAGGACCCTGCTTGGTCCCCATCGAGCCAGGCTTTGCCTCTCCCTTTCCGTGACAGAGGAGCTCCTGAAAGGCTTTGGGATTACACACTCGGGCATCCATCCACCAAAACCTGAAAATAAATGACATGATTTGATTATCAAAACGCACGAGCACAACTTCATGTACTACACCTACTCTCAGCGTCATTTGGGGTTGTTATGAACTCACAAGAGCAGATTTTCACCCCATCCATCAGCCGGGTGCTGTAACAGGAGTACAAACACCTCCTACTCTTGGCTTTTGATGGGAAAGGCCTTGGGACTGTGGGCTGAGGTGTTAACCCACACCAAGCAATGCCTAGGGCTGAACTCAGTATTTCTGGGGTCTCCTGAAAATGCAAAATGAAAGGGTAAAAATGAAAACATAGAATGGAAATATAGAAATATAGTTTTTTTTTTTTCAGAAAGGAAAGCAGCGCGGCAGTTTGCAAAACTCCAGGGGCCTGCATCAAGCCACCCAAGCAGCAACTAAACCTAAACTAACCCCCAATACAGTACAGTAAGTGGTTTTATATCAGTCAGCAATAATTTAGGGGAAAAATAGCTGAGGTTTTGTTAGCTCCTCTAAAAGCTGGAAGCGCAGGAGGAGCCAGTGGGATCACCCAGCTCTGCCCGTCCTCCCCTGAACGTGGAGCCAGGAGCCTGCGGTAGAGGAACCACGACCCCAGGACCCCCGGCCTCTCCTGGGTCTTCACTGCTGCGGGCGGGAGGGACTAAGGAGGGGCTGGGAGACAAGGAAAAAAGCAAGAAAAAACAGCGAGAGAGGGAAAAAACCCACACTCTAGCACCCCAAATCGCTTTGACCCTCCCCTGACTCCGGCTGCACATCCATTGCTGCAACTCAGGGCAGGCCTGCACCTTAGAAACGAGCGCTGCCGTACGGAGGTGTGCAAGCGTGTGTTCTCAAGCATTTCCTATGGATAATTAAATCAGGCCTGGACAATTAAATCAGGCCTCATTTAATTTCAGTTCTTGCCAGGCCATCCAGTGTTTTGGGGAGCAGCCCGTCAGTTGTTCGGCGTCAGCTACGCAGGAGGTGTGGGTTTGTCACCTTCTCTGGGGTATAGAGGTTGGCGAGGGGGGTGTCAGTCTTACCTCGGCGCCAGGCGTCCGTGACTGGGCGATGCCAGGGATAGGCGCTGTCTAACGCCGCTCCCAAGCCCTGCAAATACTGGACAGCAAGCGTAGCGCACGCTTGCTTATTTTGGACGGCTCTGCTGCAGTGCAAAAATACAACTATAAGGGGAAGGGAATCTCTACAGACTGAGCTTGTTTTCTAAAACCAAAACAAATCCACCTTTAGGAACCCAGGTAAGATGAAACTCCAGATTCCCAGTCCTGTTTCAAAACACAGGACAGAGCACGGCTCTGAAAAGAAAAAACTGGGACAGTGCTGAGGGGAAGAATGGACTGGGAGGGTTGCAAGGTAAGTTCGTTCCCATCTTCACAGGTAAAAGAGGATTACAGAGGCAGGAATTCCATTTTTCCCCCCAAAAGCAAACACTGCCCGCTACCCAAAGTGGGAGCCTGAATTCCTCCCCCGTAAATGGGTTTTGCTACAGGGGGTGATGACAGTAGCAGAAGGAACAAGCCAGCTCTCTGACACCGGGTGAGATGGCAAGCTGGAAAAAAACCCATTTATTTTCTGTTCAGACACAAGCGTTTCTTTTTCCCAAGCCTGGCTAGTCACTGGAGCAGCATTTTGTGTCTCCTGATTTGCAAAGAACATTTTCTTGGCTACAGAATACTAGAAACACATACAGCTGACCAAACAGGGGTCAGAGGAAGGTCCATCTAGCCCAGTGCCCGCTCCGCAGCAGCCAAACCGCAAATGCTGGACTGGTACAAGCACAGGGCAAGCACACAGCAATACTTCCTCAGAGCACTCATCCAGTCACCAGCAATTTGCACCCAGAGTGTCTTTGTATTTGCCACCCTGATTTCCCTGCTCCCCAGACTCTTTCTGAAACCACATTCACAGCACCTGATGGCAAAAGCTTGCACAGCTCAACTAGGTGCCTGCAAAGCAACCTCCTCTTTTTCTGCAGTGAAGAAGTTTTTCCTAATGTCCAACCTCACCTTGCCCTGGCACAACTTGAGGCCGTTTCCCCTCATCCCATCGCCCCTTCCCTGGGAGCAGAGCCCGACCCCCCCTGGCTCCCCCCTCCTCTCAGGCAGTTGTAGGGAGCGATGAGGGCTCCCCTCAGCCTCCTATTCTCCAGGCTCAACACCCCCAGCTCTCCCAGCTGCTCTCCAGCAGCCTTGGGCTCCAGACCCCTCACCAGCTCCATTGCCCTTCTCTGGACACGCTCCAACCCCTCCATGTCCTTCTGGGAGGGAGGGGCCCAACTCTGGACCCAGCATTCAAGGGGCAGCCGCACCAGTGCCCAGGACAGGGGGACGATCACTGTTCTGATCCTGCTGGCCACACCACTCCTGATACAAGCCAGGATGTTGTTGGCCCTGTTGGCCACCTGGGCACACTGCTGGCTCATATTCAGCCGCCTGTCGAACAAGACCTGCCAGGTCCTTTTTCACTGGGCAGCTTTCCCTTCCTCATACAGGAGCTGTGCTATCCCTCTGATCACCCTTCTCCACACCTAATCTAGTTCTACTGTAACTTATTTCTCTGTGCATCTTGTGGGAGTAACACTGACTTACTGCCTGCTTCGTGCTGTAGTTACATGACCCGTAGCTCACTTGTGGCCAGGCTTTGCCTCCTCCCCAAAAAGCTGAAGCCTCGGGCTGGCGGTTGCGTAAACATCCTAACAGATAGGCATTGCCTGTGAACACATACACAGATCTGGTCAAGTTAGTGTCTCCCTCTGGCCCTCACCTACCATGTTAGATACCTTCGGTTCAATACTTCCTTTTCTTTCCTCTCTTGTTTTTCCGCAGGTTTATTGGTGGAGACTAGGGCCAAGAGGAACATCAATCCATGCAGGCCAGCACGAGCTTATTTGATAAAGGACAAGTGTCGTGGACCCAGGGGGGAGTGAAGAGGGAGACAGTGGCAGGTCTAAAAATGAAGAAAAATAGTCACTAAGATGGGCTGGAGGACAGTGAGACTGCAAAGAGCAGACCCTTAGGGAAACTGCAACTCAAAGAAACCACGATACTTAAAACGATCCCAGGGAAGGTTTCTTGAATTGGCTCTGCAGCTTTCTGCAAAGCTTTTACTGGAATCAGAGGCATAAGCAGCAGCGTCCACCAGCCCATGTGTCCTCTTGTAAGGGAATTCAGGGCTCTCTCCTCATTGTGCACTGATGCTCAAAACTCACCAACATACAGTTTGAGGAGCTGAACGCCCTCCGTTCGCCCAGACAGGTCAGACAGCAGAGGACACTACCCTGCCAGGGGTGATATGCATGTTCTCAATCCTTGGGAGGACAGGAGCCAAAAAGGTGTGAGCATTAAACAGACAAACAACAGGTCAGGTAAGAAAAATACTGCCTCTTCATTTAATGTTTAACGACATCAGTGAACAAAACAGAACAGTACAGACAGTCAGAGGCTAACCCCCTCCCGCCTCCCCAAACAGCTCGCTCCAAACCGTGACAGGTACCAGGTGACAACTCAGGAGATGGAGCAGCAAAGTCTGGGATTCAAGGGATGGCCGGGAGAAATCTCCCCTGTGTGAGGGCAAGACGACAGGACTTGGAGGAAGCAGCTTCCCTCACCCACGAGCAGAGCGATGCCTCCTGGGTGCAGTCAAGAGGGAATGGTTTCCACTCTGAGCAAGCAGCCCAAATCTCTTGCTAACACACAGAAGGGCCATGTGTGAACGTGGAAAACACAGCTGGAAGCTACATTAGAGGTGCAAGACACACTATGTACTGACCTTGGCAGCCAAACCTCTGTTCCACAGTGATTTTAGCCTCTCAAAGAATAAAGAAAACAGGGAATTTAGGTCCAACTTGGCAAAGTGTTGCAGTACTCATTTGTGAATGCAAAACCGAGTACGGGGGGAATGAACAAGACTATGCTCTGCATACATTCTTCCATCCTGCTCCATCAAGCTGCTCCCTGCTCCAGGGACACTCCCAACCCTCATCCCACAACTGGCCTTGTCTTCTCAGATGTTTTGCCTTGAGCTGTGGAGTGTCAGATGGTTAGAAGGGACATCAGGAAGCAACCCTCAGTGCAGGCTTCAGAGGACAATCGACTGGGTACCAGAGTGGAGAGCCGGGGAGAGCAGGATCTATCAGGTGTTGCTGCTGAAGAGAGGCAGAGATGGTAGGCACAACCGCTCCAGCTCCCACCTTGCTGGCAGAAGCCTGCACGGGAGTTACAGGGATGACTGAACCAGCGCAGGTCAGGCTCTGAAGGCAGTCTCACGGCTGCCAGCCAGTACACAGCACAGATCTGAGCGCTACTTGAATTTCCATTTCCCAAAGCTGGAACCGTGACACGTGGTGGGAAGTAAGGAACATACTCCACTGCTCTCTGCCTCCCCAGGTAGCAGAAGCCTGCAGTGGTGGTGTTTCTGCTGCCACCACATGCAATCAAATACGAAGGGAGGGCTAACTGGCTCCTGTGTGGCCCAGTTACCTGCTCCAAGCACCCATGTCCAATGCAGGACCCCCCATAGTCCAGAGCCCCACACTAGAGCCCTCAGATCTCAACGTCACTTTCTTTGTCGTTATCGTGGTCACCGTCATAAAACTCGTTGGCAGCTTCAGGCCTGGGGGAAAAGACAGTCACCATCAGTGAGGAGAGCCCTGGCACCCCTGGGGCCAGAGAAGAATGTCTAGGTCACACTGTCTGAGGTTAGAAGATGCCCTGCACCCAATCACCCCATGAAATGTTCTGTGAGGAGACCACACATTGCTAGAGAAAGGCTCCCTGGATAAAACCAGGAATTCAGGAGTGACTTAAGTGTCTGTTCTAGGAAACAGTCTCCAGTACCTCATCTGCCCATCCTAGCAGGGACAGAAAGGGAAGCCCATTTCTCCAGAACAAGAGAGCTGGTACCTGCTGTAGTTTTCCTCAGAGCCTCTTTCCTCTGGATCAGGCTCATCTGTGCGATCGTAGCTGAGCAAGTCAGAAGGGACATCATGGATCTGCACGCTGGGAGCATGGTTCAGCATTTTCAGATTCTCAAATATCGTCTGCCTGATCTGATCCAAGTACTACATAGGAAAAACAGAGAGGGATCACCACAGTGAGGTCTGGCAGTTTGCACAGTCACAACTGTCAGCACTGCGGCCTGCCCACATCATCTATGCAGTGGCCACGAGAAACACATTTCAGTGAAAAGCTATTTATCAGAACAGAGGAGATGGGAGAGTTAATTCAATCATTGACACTCAAGCACGTAGGAAACAGTAAGACAAGCCAGCAAGGTTCTCTAATGCTGTGAGACTTTCTGCCGTTGCAGAGGAAAGGCTCTGCTTGTTCTTCATCAGCTTTCTGACCCACAAGAATTCCTTGCCTGGGCTCTACCTAGTTTCACAGGACACAGCATCAACCACAGGGCCTTGGGAGCACAAAGCTGATACTGCAACAAGGCTGCAAGCACTTACCTGCCTGGAGTTCTGATTTTCAATCCTCGTACTGACATCAGGATGAAGGGTGAAGTCTGGAGCGAAATACTCGAAGTACTCTGTGATGGAATGAGCAAGAGAGTTACAGCGCAGAGGCAAAGGAGCCCAGCCCAGCTGTGCTCTGCAGGGAAGCAGAGCTCACTCGCCCACCGCGCTAGGAGTGACCAGACCTTAAAAAGCACACTGAGGTACAGCTCTGCAGCCACAAGGAATTATATGAAACAACAGAGCGAGCAAAAGTAACGCTCAGGTCGCTGAATAGGAAACGATCCAAATTAATTGCTACACAACACGGTGAGGGTGTGTCTGCCCAGCAAAGCCTACGAGTGGGTGGTAGGAGATGACTAAGGCCATCTCCAATATTGGAAAGTGCTGTCACTTTGGCCCTGGTCTTATCTCTGGTCAACACAGAATAAAAGTGTTAATTCTTCAGCTGACGTAACAAATACTTTAGCTCAGCTAATGAGGGAAAAATGGAACTCTGGCTTACCGCTGTATGGGAGCTCTTCGCTAATTGCTTCATCTACAAGCAATGATGTTTCGTAAGTCCTGAAAACACAGAATAAGATGAGCTCAGTCCAGAGAAAGCTCCACGGTGCATGCAGGGACAGAGCCCACAGCAACTGCTTAACCAGTGACCTTCGACAAGCACAGAAGAGACTCACCAGCATCGTGCCACGTTGCGGACTGTGTAACCACCTCCTCCCAGTACCAGCAAGGGGATGTTGAAGCTCTTTACATACTCCACACACTCCCTAGAAACCCCAAATAAAAAAATGCCAGAGCTGTTAACTGCAGCACGCATTCACATGTCAGAAATGCCAGCGTACACTCGAACACCACCACGGCTGGTGTGATACACCTGGAGTTCAGGGCTTCCACCCAGGGAGCCTGAACCATGTGCTACACTGTGAGCCACCACTCTGCAGGGCCTTGTACAAACCCTCATTCTGAGACCCCCTCCTGTCACACAAGAGTTAAAAAAAAAAAACCAAAAAACTGCTGGTGCTGCTGGAAGGCCGAAGTCAAAGCTCAAGCCTCACAGCAGAGGACCAAGTAGAGCCCTTCAGACTGAAGGACGGTCTTTCAACTGCTCTGCCAAGCCCCACTGTACTTACCCATGTCCTCTTATACTGAGGTTAAAACAACCCAGACGGTCACAACCCAGAGAATCAGCACCACACTGGGGAACAGAAAAAGAACAACTGAATTTTTGCTACGGAGGCATTGTTTTCCAAACACAGCTCAGCATCCCAACCCCTTGGCCACCCTCATACACCAGAGGGTACAGACGGCAGCTCAGCTAGGACATACCAACCCTGATTCCCCGGGAACAGAAGGTAACACATGTAAGAGATAATAGAAAAATATTTTTACAAATACATTAACTCTGCAGAGGGACCTGGCCAGGCTGGATCCATGGGCCCAGGCCAATTGCATGAGGTTCAACAAGGCCAAGGGCCGGGTCCTGCACTTGGGTCACAACAATGCTACATGTGTGGGGAAGAGCAGCTGGAAAGCTGCCCACGGAAAAGGACCTGGGGGTGTTGGTCGACAGGTGACTGAATATGAGCCAGCAGGGTGCCCAGGTGGCCGAGAGGGACAACAGCATCCTGGCTTGTATCAGGAATGGTGTGGCCAGCAGGAGCATGTCCAGAGAAGTGCAACGAACCTGGGGAGGGATCTGGAGCCCAAGACTGATGGGGAGCAGCTGGGGGCCTTGGGGGTGTTCAGCCTGGAGAAGAGGAGGCTGAGGGGAGACCTTATTGTTCCCTAAAACTGCCTGACAGGAGGGGGGAGTTGGGGGGTGTTGGGCTCTCTTCCCAGGTAACAGGTGATGGGATGAGGGGAAACAGCCTCAAGTTGTGCCAGGGCAGGTTTAGGTTGGACATCAGGAAAAATTTTTTCAATTAAAGGGTTGTCAAGCACTGGAAGGGGCTGCCCAGGGAAGGGGTCGAGTCCCCACCCCTGCGGGTATTTAAAAGCCGGGCAGACGAGGTGCTTAGGGCCAGGGTTTAGTGGTGGGATGTCAGGGTTAGGGTAACCATTGGGCTTGGTGATCTTAAAGGTCTTTTCCAACCTAAATGATTCTATGATTCTATCGATAGCAGCCCCCTCCACCATACAGCCTCTGAAAGGGCCGGACATGGGCAAAGAGGCTTGCTTTCTTACCTGCAGTACTATGCAGGTGGGCTGATAGTAATCCACCACCTGGTTAATGACTGGCTGGAAGAGGTGTTTATAACCTTTGGAGAGAAAGACAGATTTGGTCATGGCTCTGGAGCAGAAGGACCAGCAAATGCCTGGGCAAGGGGAAACAGCAGGGAACACCTACTTTGGTCATCAATGCCATCTCGTAGAGGCACGTTGAGACAGTAGTAACGACCGCTCTCTGCACCAACTTCATACATGTCACCTGGCCAGGGCAAGACAGGAGAGTCACAATAGCTCTGAGACTTCAGAGGTGTGGAAAGGCCAGATCTGGTCTGGGTTTGGGTCTCTTAACCGAGCTAGGATCCCTCTTTCTTACAAATAACTATACTTCTGTTGCTCTCTAATTGCTTTTCCATGTCCTTTCTTCCATCATTTCTCCCATCATTTCGTCATTTTACACTTCTATGCTCCAGCAGAGCTTTCAAAGGATTCTGAAGCAAGGCCAGGTTCACACTATAAGAGAAAATACATACCTGTACCAGGAAAGAAATAGTTCCCATATTTATGAAATGACACTGTCATCACACGGTCTGTCAAGTAGAAAGCCTCCTGCACACCGTCTCCATGATGGATATCAATATCAATGTACAGAACACGTGGGTGATACCTGTTGAATACAGGAGGAAAAATGGCATTACTGTCTGCCCCGCACCCAACCTCACTATTCCCCACATGCCTCAGCATCACCTTGAGCACTGAAAACCACCACCGACATCCACCTGCAAGCCCACTTGCCAAAAGAACTCACCTGTCCCACCCCAGGCATATCAAATGGCTTTAGATACGTCACATTTGTGTGCAGTCAAACACGTCTCACCACTAAAACATTTCCTTCTGATGTGCTTGGAAAGAGATATTGGAATAAAAGGTTTTCACGTGGGACCAGAAATATCTTGGAAAGCACATGACACAGTGAACCTATTTTAATCACCTGGGGGTTCTAACTTCCTAAAGCTGTGGGGCTTTGTTTCCTCTACACACAGGTGTGCTGCTAGTTAATCTTTAAGTGCGCCAATGGTTTTGAACCATATGTGGAAATGTAAGGCAAGGCAGCCAAGGAGGAGGTAGGAACACTTACTTCCCTCCACGTGCCAGAGTACCAGCAGCATTATGTCCCAGCTGGCTAGCACCAAGAACACTAGGCTGGACTAAATTTACTGGAGAAGCAGCCTGCTGGGGCGCAGAGACAGAGGGTGAAGAAGGGAAGATCATCACAAGTAAACACATTGGGGTAATGGTCAAAGCTGATGTGCTGTCAAACACTGACCCTAAGCCATCCCTGCCTGCCAGCGCGAGAGCTGCCTGCTCAGTTGGGGAGAAATTCTGCAACTTTTCATAAGGAAATACTGCATCTGGTCAATTCCTAAAGGGCAGGGGATCTGACATCCATGCCAAGATCCTGGGGGGCTGGGGAGGGACCTGAAAAACCAAGGCAACATCGAAGCAGAGAGGAGGAGCATGTGGTTTGTGCCATCTGTGTTGGAATCATGGCTTTAAGCACGCCTGCGGTGATCTGATCAAACCGGTTGATGGTGCTGACCCATGCTGATTAGCAGACAAGTACCTTGCCTCAGTCTCCCAAGAGAGACATAAACTATTTAAGACAGTCCAGATTATTCATCCTGTAAACAAATGGCAGCAAGGAGAAAAAGGGGATGCGTACACACAGCCCTTGCACACTGATAAAGGGAGAAAGGGACCTCCTAAGAGCAGAGGCACCACAGTACTGCCATGGCGGGAAGCAAACCCAAGTATGCAGCCACCTGCTGCAGAAATGGTTCCTGAAAACAGGGAACAAAAGAATAGGGACATGTGATAATCTCCCACGAGGGCTAACTGGGCTGTATTTGAAGCCTCTGGCACACGAGACCCACGCGAGACTAGAAAATGGGTGTGTAGAGATACACAGTGAAGACCTGAGGTTCCAAATACAGAGCAGGGAAGACTGGCAGAGAGGAAGGAGGTACAAGAAATCCCAGTACATCCCATAAATCTGGCTTTGAGATAGAGTAAGCTCGCCACCAGTCATGTAACTACTGTCTGGTCAACCCCAACTCTTTCTTAATTCTATGTCTTATCTCAGGTTCAGTGACAAGGAGGGCATTTGAGAGTACAAAATAAAAAAAAAAAAAAAAATCACAGATTCATCCAAGAAACAGAAGGTATTTCTCTAGCTCTTCCTCCCATTCTGAATTTATTTTTCATTTTCTAAATAAAAAAAAAAGTCCAACTCTTCTACTCAAAGCAAGCGTCCTTTGATCACCCATGTGTTGCTCAAGTTCTTAAGCCACTCAAGCAAATCAAGAAAGATTCGAGTCATTTAACTGTCTCCAGTGAGCCATAATTTGCATTTACCTACAAAAGGCTCACTGTGGCAAAAACGCTGAGGCTCAGGAGACCCTGAAATGAGTATTTCACAGATGGATGAGAAATGGAATTGAAGAACTCTTCTGTATCCCTTAGGCTGCACGCAACAAAATTGGAGTCAGATATTCCAATTTTCAAGCCCCCCTTCTCGTGCCTAAAGAGGAGGCCAGGACAAAAGAAAAAAAAATAATAAAAAAATCAAGTTGTTGGCCTTTCTGGACTCTATAAAGGCAAACAAGGGGAGGGGAAACAGAGAACAGTGAAGCAGCAGAGGGAAACCACACGCCAGCCAGGACAGTACTGCACTTGCCCCATGTCCTTACTTGAGCAGCTCCAGGATGCCGATAACTATGTCATTAACATAACAAAACCCAGAAGCCTGCAAGACAGAGAAAACCGAACAGCAGCATTAGAACAGGACCAACACAGAGCCTGGACCTCAAAAAGACAGAGGAATATGCAGATTTGCCTCCTTACCTCAAACTTTTTGGCATGATGCAGGCCTCCTGCCCAGTTTATTGCAATATCACAGATCTAAGAAAGGAAAGGTAAGTTAGTTAGGTGACGACGTGGTAACAGCAACCTTGCACCCACTTCCACCTGCCCTGTGGCCCACAAACACCCTTTCCTGCTCCTAACAGAGGCCTTTCCAAAGCTCCACCTTGGTCGTTAGCCCAGCCAACAGTTTTGGTTACGTCATGTTTGGTTACTGGATTAGTCCTGTGCTCTACATTCCCCGCTAGACCAGAAAAGATTATCTCCCACCACTGCTGCTGCTCCCACTCCGGCCAGCAACGGGCAGAGCACCTGGCACATACAGTTTGTTCCTGCACTTGTTCTTTACGCTCATTAGAGCTTTCTTGGGTCTTGCTATATTGTTTTTAAAAAAAAAAAAATCCATGAGGTTCTCCTTAAACTGAAAACCAGTTGGCTTATGCCTGTGTTTCAAAAGATAAGCACATCAGCTCAGTTACCTTGTTGTTCAGCTGTGTTGCTCCTTGCAGGGAGGCCCCAGTATAGCGAGAGCAAAATTCAAAGAGGCCTGGAAACACTGGGCTGAAAAGGAAACCGTATTTCAAACACAGAACATCTTCTCATTCCTCCCCATTTCTCCAGAGCAAAGCCAGGAATAAAACTATCCAGGGACATCACCTGAGCAAGATCCAAACTCATTCTCTGTGAAAGAGTTAATTTGGGATCACTCTGACCCTGCTTATAACACACTGAGTACCAGCAGGTGAGCAATCTGGCTGCAAACACAATAGGAAACTCAGTGAATTTGATAATGATTACCAAAGCTTTCAAGCTAGTCCTGAAAAGGCTCCCCTGCTCACAACGTGGGCTGGCGTCTGTCCTGCAGCCCTGCTGACATGTGCCCAGAGCTAGGACATGATGTGAGGCACTGGACCAGGAGACTGGCCTGCTCCTGCACTGTCTCCCCCCTGGCTGTTTTTGGAAGACCCTGCCCCTCTCTGCTTCCAAGCGCACAGCCCGGTGTGCGGTATGCTGCAACCGGAGAGGAACACTGCTCTTAAGATAGCACTGAGGTCTGATCCATTCCGCCAAGCACGAGGAGAGTACAGAAACACAGGACACTGAGTCCCTGTGTCACCCGCCTGCTGGCATCATGTCACACATTTCATTCATGGACAAGCAATGGCTTAAAGACTGTGGGGTTTTATTTCCCCTTTCATTTCTAATAAGATGGCTTCTGATCATCAGAGCAGCAAGGTTACAGAACAGCCTTCTGATCCTCAGCCTAAATATTAAAAATCAGGCTAGACTACTGTCTTCTTGGGATAATAGTCTAGGTAACATAACTCCTCCCGGGCTAATACTTACAGCCTTCCCCTCCACAGCATACACAAGGACAATCTTACTCTTCGACAGCCCTTGTAACCCTCAACCAGATAAGGCACATTGCTATTTCCTCAGTCACCCACAGAGCCCTTCCACACATTTCTTTCAAGTTTCACCTCTTACGAGCATTAAAGACTGGATCTCAACAAGATCTCATTTAGTTTTGTACAGAAGCATGAGTATCTCCTCAGTGCTACCTGAAAATCAGGCTATTGAGGCTGTCTTGAAGGTAGCGGGCATGTACTAAAGTAGCTAAAATGACAGGCAATTATTTAAAAAAAAAATAGTTAGCATGTTCAAGAACTGGAAGCCCTGCAAGAACAAGCAGAGATACAATCTCTAACCCAACAAGCTTACAGTCTAAATATAGATCTGAAAAGGAGGACTGCAAGAGAAGGGAAAGGAATCGAGGAGGTTCCAGTAATACACACAGGCGGGACACGCACCTCATTCTGGTTAAAAACTAAATGAGAAATGGGACATTCTGAAAGAGCTCTCCGGACACGAGCAATGCAGGATCACCCTTTCTGACCGCGGGTTTGCAGGAGCACAGAGCACTCACCAGTCATCGCCCACGTTGAAGGCGTTGAGGCTCTTGGTGAATCCCTGCATGTTGTTGGGACTCACTCTCTGCAGGAAGTCTATGTAGTCCTCAGAGTGGAATCGGCACATGTCGTGCTGGGATGCCTGGTAGGGTTTGAAAACCTTCAAGAAAGAAAGGCAAGATTTATTTCCCATCCAAACCCACATTTGCTTCAGCTGTAAGAAACCTCAAGCTAACTGACAAACGACCTGCATGAGGTGTATGAAAAAACGTTCCAATACATTGGGTTCCTGACTTCCGTGTTCATTTAAATTCAACAAGTTGCTCCATGAAGCCTGCTTTCCCATCCGTTTTTCTCTTTCAGCCACAAACCCATCTCCTGTCTCTCACAATAACCACAGCTCTTGCCACATACTCTCTGATGCCTGCCTTCCCCCACTGCACACCCCCCGTCCTTGGGCAAGCCAGCAGAATAAAACAGCTGAGCTCAAACTACAGCTGGTTCTTCACTGGGGGGCACTACTCCCTTATCAGGCACCAGCTCTCATATAATTTTAAGACCTTGATATAGGGGTGGTTTTGGTTCCTCTGTCAGATTTGCCTGTAATGGGCTGATAGGTTCAGAAATGATTTGGAGAAAGCTCACAGACAGACGGGAGAGTTGCATAAAGCTTTGTTTCCTTTGGAAAGCTGGCAAAAAACAGTCAGGGAACTAGATGGATTCAAATTCAAGACCTTGTGACAATACAGGCTTGCCAGTTTGGCTCTTAACGCACATACCTCAATATAGGGGAAGTTAAAAATTAACACCACATACCTGGCGAGAGGAAATTAAAGTTGGGCTGAAATCACCAAGAGATCTTTTTTGTGTTTCTCAATTTCTCTTAATTAAAGCATGCACTTTATAGTAAAAGTGGAACATGAAGAAAAAAAAAATAAAAATTAAGATGCACAAGCTTGCCTCCTAAGGGAAAATTTGTCAGGGCAAGTGCACCAACGCACCCATTTTCTGGGCTAAGCAGGAAATGTGTTAATTTTCAGAGACATAATATACCCTAACAAACACGCTGACTCCTTTCCCGAATTGATCTGCACGTGGTATGGTGCTTTCCACGTGGATGCACAGGGTTCAGTGTTTCTTGAAGGCTGCTGCCTCTGACAACTCAAACAAGGAGGATGAGGCAACTCACAAGCACGAGCCATCAGTGCAGCTGCTAAGGGTGAAGGCAAGACCTGTTCCTCATGAGGGCTCTGCACCTCCCAGGTATCCAGATGGCTGATTAAATCAAACAAGACCAAAACCAAAGCTAAAGAGTCCTCATGGAGAAGAAATAGCTTTCATGAGATATCCAGAGGCTCTCTTGGACAACAAAGAGTAGGGACTTGTGATTCAAAACAGAAAGGTGGTGGTGGGGGAATAAAAGACCTAGAGCTTCAAGACTGACTCAGCTGCTGCCAGAAGAAGAAACTTGCTTCCTTCCACCCTTCACCCTGCTCCCAGCAATCCCACCCACCTTCCTGAGCAAGCCCTGGCACTCGGCCCCCTCTGTCCGCTGCCTCGTTTTGCTAACTTCACAGAAAGCTCTCCCAGCTTTGCCGAGTTACTGGGTTGCGTCAGTTCACGCAGGGATCCAACAGCTTCCAGACGCAGCACAAGAAAGGCAGCGGGACGACGCAGCAGAGGAGCCGGGAAGGTGAGTGGCAGGACAACCCTCCCTCTTTCAGCAACGCTGAGCCACAGCCATGGATAAGCTGGGAAAGGTGCAAAGAGGCAAACCCAGCTGGACAGGACAGCGGCTTTTTGTTTGGAGGAGGCAGAGAGGAGGATGATGTAACTGCAACACCCAGTTAACAGAATCTTTTATAGTCACAACTGACCATAATCCCCACTTTTATTTGCTCATAACTTTGCCAGTCACTGACTGTACAGGATGAGGTTTCCTCTGCGGTTTTCAGCTTCACGATGGCATCTCGTGGAAAATACACCCCCCCCAAAAGGGTTTCAAGACTAAAAATATGGTGAAGCATACAGCTCTGCCTACTGCCTCCTCATTCCGACATGGATTTGACATTTAGAAGTGTTATGTCAGAAGATGCTTTTTGCTGTTTCTGCAAGAAAAATCCCAACCCGAGGGAAGTTATTTATAGAAGTTCATACGTTCACAGTAAAAATCTGAAAGATAAATTCTGCAAAGATTCCACGTGCCCTGAGCGTAATCCAGTTGCATCCCTGGCGCAAGCACAACCACAGGTCACCATGGCTGGATGTGATTTTACTAGAGAATTATATTAATTACACAGGGAAGCTTTTCTAATTTTATATATTGCATCAAGGAACTGTTCCACCTGTCCATTTTAGCACCTTCCTTTAAAAATTGGTATCGTGCTTTAGTTTTGGGCCAGCTTATTTTCTATTTGCTTTCGCTCAATCCGCAAGTCTCTCACCGCTGAAGCAGACAGGCTACAGAGGAAGAGCTTGAACCTGAGCCCGTGCCAAACACCAGGCACTTGTACAAGTGCTAAAGATAATGACAAAGATGCGTGGAACGGATGGGCAGGTCCTGAAGCAGCCAAGATCTAGCTTTTCCCTCTGCCCCCCTTGTATTTGTTTGGCTGTTCAGACTTGATCCTAAAAAATAAAAAGCAGGAACACTGTACTGCTATTGTGCTTGCAAGAATTTTGCACCTTGTCCTGCCTATACAGTGGGGAAGACACTGAAAACGTGCCAGAATTCAAACCACTGGTCTAATCCTGCTCTCTTGTGCTCACAGTGATACAACTTGGATTTTAACATTGCCTGATTCTTGAGAAGCGACCTTTAGGACAGGCTTTTTTTGGTATCTCAACAACTAAACGTTCAGTCAGGTCTTTGAGGGCACAAAGCAGGCTGTAGCTTTGCTTAACGTCTAACGGCGGGGATGAGGGAACCTGGCAAACTAGCCATAGTCTGGAGAAGTGCCTGGTCTAGCCAGGGAACAACTGGAATTTGCACGTTTCTGTCTGACTATCAGTGTGTTTTCACAGCAGCTCACGATTTATCCCTAAAGCACGCTGCAGACGTGAATGCACAATGCTGAGGCAAGTTGATTGTGCTTTCTTCTCCACAGCCTCAACACAAGCCCGACTATTACTGGTTACTTGCAGTCACCTACAACTGCAAGCAACGATCTACGATCGAGATCTACAATCATTTTGAGAGCATATGCCTTTGAGTAACCTGCGGGGTCATCCGGTTCAGGCTCATGAGTAACAGGGGAAGTGGCTGGCGCGCAGCGTGTCACATGGATCAGAGCCCGACTGCAGAAGGGCGAGGAACATACGTGGGATGCACAAGCACAAAGCAGAAGGCTGGGGGAAAGTCCTAACATCCCTCACAGATCGGAGCAATGATGGGTTTGTACCCATTTTTCACCTCCCCTCCCTGTTTGCTAGCCACACATGATGATGACTGTGACAGAAGTGCTCTTCACCTCTTTTAATGAGGTAATTCCCTCAAAAAGACACCATAAATGCTTCTATGTCCCTATACGTACACATATAAACACATACATATATGTACATAAAACCAGAAGCACCTGGATCTGTAGCCTACAATATTTAGAACAACATTCTGGGTAGGGGCCTTTCCCCAGGGCACATCACACAGATCTGAGGCTGCGGGGACAATAGGCAGCAGCTGCACCTGGCCTCGGGATCAGATAGCACAACCTGGGACCACGCCAGGCAGCCCAGGAATTAAATCGCTCAATGGTCTGAAACAGCTTAGAAGCAATCCCGCCACACCGAAAGCGAGAATAAGCCAACAGGAAAACAAAACAAGTTGCCCCAAAACAATCAGCAGTTGCAGGTGGCATGTTCTGCATGTCAGAATGGGCAAAAGCTGTCTCAAAAGGGGCAGAATGGCAGAAGACTTTTACCATTCCCGCCTTGATCTCATATCGTGAGGCATTAAGTTACGTGCCCTGAACTCCTGAGGGCTTTTCATTTGCGCTGTGCTGCAAGAACAGGCAGAAAAGTGAACAAGGATTCTAGGGAAAGGAGCATGGTTCAATTCTGCTTGCACCAAGTGAAATAAATACTTCAGAAGAGGGGTACCACACATTCGTGGTGATATCCCATCATCCCAAACCTAGTTCATTTCTTGAAAGATGAAGATTTAAGTTTTCTTTTTGATTATCGTTACATGCCGATCATGCTTTACTAGGTTTACACAGCCTATGTTTCAGGAAGAGAAAAATCTTTCTAACAGTAACAGCCGGAACGCACCGGACTAGGTTGTTTGAGCTGGATGGGCCACAAAGACTTTGAAAAGCAGGTTGGACGATCATTTATCGGGTATGAGATGGGATTAGCGAACTCCATTAAGGCACCAAGGTGAATCAGAAAGCCTCCTGAGGTTTTTTTTTTTCCAGCTTTACCATTCTACAATCACACAGTGCACAGTGGTCACTGGGTCCTTCCTAGAAGGGGCTACAGACACAGAATTTTCACGTACAGTGTCCTGCCGCACTGCTGAAGCTCCAGGCACAGCGCCGTATGCACCAGTTTGAACAAGACCCTGACAATGAACAGTGCTGCCTTTCAAATCAGCTCTGGCTGGTACAGTGGGGGCTCAGGCCGATGAGAACACCCGAGCTGGCTCAAAGCCTTGTCTGCAACAACTCTGTTACCTGCTGTGCCAAAAGCAGAAATGAAGGAGCAGCAGCACAAGAAAACTGTGAAGAACCTACTGACACAGTCTGAGCCTTGACATGGAGGCCAGGACTGAAGTCAGCAGCACCACACACAGCTCTCCAGCACCTTTCATGCACACCGAAGCCTAAACCGCCCAGGCTGGCGGTCTCCTGCCCAAAGCC